TGACATGGATAGAGAACTCACTGGCAGACGGGAAGCAGAGAGTTGGAATAAATGGGTCCTTTTCAAAATCGCAGGCAGTTACAAGTGGGCTGCCGCAGGGTTGATTGCTGGAATATCTCCAAATTTGCAGATGACAGTAAGCTGGATGGCAGTGTGTGCTGTGAGGAGGGTGCTAAGAGACTGCAGGTTGACTTGGTCAGGCCGGCTGAGTGGGCATATACTTGGCAAATGCAATATAATGTGAATAAATGTGAGGTTATCCACTTTGGTCGCAAAAACAGGTTAGCAGATTATTACCTGAATGGTGGCAGTTTAGGAAAAGGTGAGGTGCCACAAGACCTGGGTGTCATGGTGGAACAGTTGCTGAAAGTTGGCATACAGGTGCAGCAGGCAGTCAGGAAAGCTAATGCCATGCTGTCCTTCATACCAAGAGGATTTGAGTATCAGAGTAAAGGTGTCTTGGTGAGGCCATACCTTGAGTATTATGCGCAGTTTTGGTCTCCTAATCTGAGGAAGGATATTCTTGCTGTTGAGGGAGTCCAGCAGAGGTTCACCAGACTGATACCCAGGATGGCAGGACTGACTGGGCTTGTACATGCTGGAATTTAGAAGAATGAGGGTAGATCTCATAGAAATGTATAAAATCCTGATTGGACTGGACAGGCTAGATGCGGGAAGAATGTTCCCGATGTTGGATGTCCAGAACTAGGGGTTACAGCCTTAAGAATAAGGGGTGAGCCATTCAGGTCTGAGATGAAGAATTTCTTCAGAGTTGTGAACCTGTGGAATTCTCTCCAACAGGAAGCTGTTGGGGCCAGTTCATTAGATGTATTCAAGAGGCTGTTGGATGTGGCCCTTATGGCCAAGGGGATCAAGGGGTATGGAGAGAAAGAGGGATACTGAGATTGCATGATCGGCCATGATCCTACTGAATGGTGGTGCAGGATCAAAGGGTCAAAAGGCCTACTCCTGCACCTATTTTTCTATGTTGCTATGCCAGGAAACAGCAGAGTTGCAGGTTGAGAGTCTTGAAGTGTCTGATATTGGAGCCCAGGTCAATCAGCGGCACTAAAGTACAGGAGTTAGATTCAGACATACTGAAGCTCAGCAGTGAAGACCTCGCTTCTGGTTTTATGGTTGGGGCTAGGATTTGGGACTCACTGAAGTACCATCAGCTGGAGCCTAAGCCTGTAGAGAGAATGACAGACAAGCAAGACAAAATACCATGTGGGCCTCTGTGCCAGTGTAGGGTGCAGTCTCGCTTGCACAATTTGACAATTGCTGCTTTAACTCCGTGGTTTAATGCTGTGCCTGGAACCTGATATTCCGTTTCCACTCAGTGTACTTGACAGATTATGCTGAAGTTGTCTCTCCTATTAATTTTAAGAAAAACAAAATATGACTGAATGAAGGAGGTACGGTAGTATATAGAAACTTTCTGTGAAGAATGAATAACACATTAGTATTTATATTGATGGATGTTTAATCCAGTCAGATTGCAGAATGGATAGGTCAGTGAACTTGTTAAACAAATATAAAGTCTTGCTTATACTTGAAATTATTCTCTAGAAGTTATGGCAACATCTATGTGCCATGTTTCTACTTGTAACATAGTACCTTACTGCAGTAGCATTTACTGTTATACATTCTACAGCTGCAGGGGTTGAACTTTGTCGTAGTGGAACAACACAAAATTAATTGTACTGCCCTATTTTCTCTCGAAAGCTTTCCCTTTTCCTCTATTTCTATATTTTAGCCAATTATTCTTATGACCAAGATATTCCTGTTGTGTGAAGGAATTTTTCCTAGGCTTTTTCCTCTTTGTATGACTAATTAAAATTGAAGGTCCCTTGTCACTGATGCCTAAGGTAAAGGAATTGGCTTTCCTTATTTATTCTGTCAATTCCTTTTAAATGTATTGACATTCTTTGTGACATTAGAAATAATTGTTATCTCAAGTCTGTTCTCCTCTCTGATATCGATTATATCGTCTGCTCTTTTCAGTTTTCATGCCTTTTGATAATGGAGTGTTCAAACTGCACAAAGACTTATATTTGAGGCCTAACTAATGTTTTGTATGAATTAGCATTACTTTTCTCTTGAATGTTTGCTTGCATTACACTATATACTGACATTAGAGTCTCCATGGAATTGTATTAGAGCCCTATTGAGTTCAGCCATATCCTTCATTCATTGTCTGTCAAGTTTTCTGTCATTCAGTACTTCTCTTTGAAAGTACATTATCATATGCTTAACTAACATTACATTTACACTGTTCACTTGTCTGCCTACACTCTGTTCAACCATCTATATCTGATTGAAGTCTTTTATGGCCCTTGTCGCTGTTGGTTAAATGAGCACGAACTGTGTTGCTATTTACGCTTGAAGAGGAAATTTTGAGTGCAAGCACTGGATTTTTAAATTGAAAAATGCTGGAAGCAGTCAACAAGTCAAGTCACAATAACAGTAAGGAACAGAGTTAACTTTTTAGGTCTTTGACGTTTTATGAATGATCTGACCTGCTGAGTATTCTCAGCCACAAAAATGGAAATTGCTGGTGAAATTCAGCAGGTCTGGCAGCATTTGTGGGATGAAAGTAGAGTTAATGTTTTGAATCTGGAGTCTCTTCATCAGAAGTGTTTGGAGCTGGGTAAAGGTGATATTTGTGCTGAAGGTGAAGTTTTAGGGTTTGGAGGGAAAAGGAGATGTAAGGAGAGAGGTGGAGATGGAGCTGAGAGACACAGATATGAAAAGGGTACGTAAGCAAGGAGATTATAGATAGGTGGCTAGGTCGGAAGAAAAGTTGAATAAGTGATATTAAGAGCTAAGAGTAGGAGAGAGTGGGTGAGCTGTACTGAAAGCAACCCATATAATGTGATAACAAACATGACAGGGCTGAGTGTGGGGGGGG